TAAAATGCTGTGAATAATTTACCTATTTCAAAATATTTTGCCGTAAATAGATATTGCTTGAAAACTTCTTGAAATCTGCAAATCAAAAATCGTCACGATGGGAGAGGGAGTCCTCATAGAGGAGATCTTTTCATTCTAGTAACGAGATAAGAATTTTTTAAAAATAAATCGACAAAGAAGATGGAATGGCACGGCAATGAAAACAAGGGCAAGAATAGGAAAATTTGGGCAAAAGAAAAAACTAAGCTGGAAAGTGAGGACACAAAATAAAAAGTAGGAGGGAAATAAAAAAAAAAAACCCGGGTCAGTGAATTATGAAGGAAGTAAAAGATGGATTGGGATTTCGTCAAAAACAAAAGAAGAAAAAAAGAAGAAAGAGAGAGATGGATTGGGATGAACGAGATTGAAGGGAGGAAAGGAGTGAGGAGGCTATTAAAAAGTAGGGACTATTAGTGAAAACCCCCCTCTAGCATTTTTTTAATAATGATGGATATAGTCACTTTTTCTTTATTAGTGATAAACCCAACTTTTGTTTATTATCAAATTTACCCTTCCCTATTATTTGCTACACATACCTTTTTTATTTCTTTTCTATTTTCCATTTTAATTTTCGTTTTGTTTATTTAAAAAAAATAGTTTTTAAATATTTTTTTATAAATGTTTTTTAATAACTAAAAAATAATATAATTTCCAACATTTTTTTAGTTTCGTTTCTCCAAAATCAACTATAATATTTTCGAAATCGACTAAAATTTTTCTGAAAATCAACTAAAAGATTCGGTTTTTTTTTTCATATTATTTATTTTGAATCCGAAACGATTTTTTTTCCCAACTAATTTACCAAATTGAAAAATTACTACATATTATTGAAATAACTATAAAAAATTAAAATCAACTAAAAATGTCGAAAACAACTAAAAATACATTGACTAATTTTTTTAATTTATATTTTTTGATTTTTATTTTTCCAGCAGGTCATATAATTGAATAAAAAAATAAAAAATCAAAATCAACTACCAAAAACTTGAAAATCAACCAAAAAAGTCGAAAACAACTAAAACTTTCAAAAACAACTAAAAGAAATAGTAGGATAACGAAAACAGCTATAAAAAATAGCCGAATAACAAAACAACTATTTTGCTGTAAAAATGCCTAACATCAAAAGCATCACAAAAAAAAAAAAAATCAAAAAAATCAGAACGATGGCGACGACAGGGCAGAGGCGGGGGCGGCAAAGTCTCTATATCTGGCGGTGGAGTTGAAGAGTGGAGGTAGGGAGGGATTTTTGAATTTTTGATGTCGTCTTCTACAACTAAATCGAGATCGTAGCGATGGCGGCGGCGGCGGGACGAGAACTTCAGATCTGGCGGCTTGGACATCAATGTTGAGGGAGTGGAGAGCGATACGAGCGCGTCCTTGAGGTTGTTCCTAAAGTCATCGGCTCATGCTATGCTTTTCAATGGTGGATGGTGGAGGCTACGATGGAGTGGTTCTTGCCTGCACCATGAATTTATTCAGGAGAGAGAAAAGAGACGGAATGGGATATGAAGAGAATGACAGAAATCAGAGAAAAGAAGATGGAGGCGGTTGAATGGCGTAATAAAATTAGGGCAGATGTGAAATAATATAGCATTAATGGCAAATTAGATATTATTCATAGCAGTTTTAAAAAGAATAATTAAAATTAATAATTAAGGGGGGTTTGACTAATATTGAAAAAGGGGTTATATCCACCCTAATATATGTAAATGATGTGGGGGGTTTTCACTAATTATCCCTAAAAGGTATCAGGATTGATTCTAGTTTGATATTTAATAATAAATATATTTTCTAAGTGTAAATAATAAATAAAGAGTAAAATAATAGATATATAATAAAATAATGTGAATAATAATGAATAAAATAATAAATATACAACATGGATAAAATAATAAATAATGTGATACTATTCATAACAACACTTAAGGAAATTCAGCTAGAATAGATAGATCAACTTCAAAAATTTATTTCTCTTGAACCATTAACTTAAACCACTTGAGATTTTTACCACTCACTCTACTATGAGTCTATATAACTCCATCAAATCAGTTTTGAAATATGTTTAGCTACGTGGGAGAAATAATTAAAATGGGGCAGAGGCTCGATTGAAAATCGAGAACATGGCGGAGAATTTTGAAATTACCTAGTAAATTCATCAATGTTCCAAACATTATAAATTTTATGTCAAAACAGAACCATGGATTGGAAAGTTACTACAATTGGAATCAAGTCATTTGGTTGAGCAAAACTTCATTTTTAATGGAAGATTCCAGACTTACCCTATTTTTGTGCAGTTGTACAAAACAATTCATAATAAATTCAATATTTATCCAAATAATTCAAAGGACCTACCAAACTAATCAAATCAGAGAGATGCAGAAACTCGTAAAAATTCATAAATTTCAAGACAAAACACATATATAAAAAAGTATTTCTAAACTCGAGGCATTACATGCAACCCAACATACATCATCACATCAAATTAAGATTTTTCAATAACAATCAAAAATTCGTCAAAAATTAATAACACAAGGAGATGTATATTACTAGATTTAATGTCGAGGTGGAAGTGTCGCCTAGCTGAGAAAATAAATTGCTGGCTATGATGTTGAGGGAAGCAGCGCTGGTTATGGTTGTTGTCAATATTGTATGGCGTGTGTGGTGCGGAGAGAGAGAGAGAGAGAGAGAGAGAGAGAGAGAGAGAGAGAGAGAGAGAGAGATGATGGTAAAACGTTGGGAAATGAAAGAAGAATCGGGACAGAGAGAAAACAGAATTGAGAAGAATGAGAGAAAATATCAAACGTCACAAAAAAAAAAAAAAGTTGTAAAGAAGGAAACAGAATTTCGCGCAAATTTTATTTTCTTAATATCATGCAACAACATTCAATGCACTTTGTTATAGGTGACCTTATTTACCACACAAGGCTTGTTGTATGCAACAATGTTTTACCGTACGCAACAGAGTGTTGTCGTCTAACGTTTTCAAATGACACAGTTACAAGATGTATCCGCATGTTGTGGTATACATATATAACAAGGCACAAAATCCGAGTGATGTAAAACAATTTTGCCGGACACAAACGACAATGCTCATTCATAGCATGTTGTCAAATATGTGGGAGCACAACACGCCTTTATTGAACATTGTTAAAGGGATGTTAAACGTCATTTTTCTTGTAGTGCGTCCAGGATCAGTTATACAAAATTGACGGTCAAGATCGGGTCTTACTTGAATAGTGGGGTTAAGTTGCTTGGGTCCAAATTCCTTGAGTTGGGCTGCCAGAATTTAAAGACTAGCCCATATCATAAAGTTCATTTATGTGTTCAATTCTTCACATGCATTTCCTTGCATAGAAAATGTGCCTAAGACACTAAGTTAGAACGATAAAGCTTAAGTTATATTCTATTTATCGTAGTCAATACAAATTAAATATCGTACTACAATCTTTATTTCAATGGTTTGTCCAATTCCATAGGAATGGTGAGTGAATAATCTTTATATTATTAACGAACTTTCGAAACGATTTTGTCTGTGTTATAAACAAGAGTTGACAATCCATGTAGATGGTCATATTGGAATACATGTGTGGCATATATATGGTCAAAGGATGAGTTGACCTGCTTGTGTGGCATGTTTCTGGCACGGATGACCTATCTATATGAATATGGATGGAAACATGGAGTAGGAGTGACCCTCCCTTTGGACACTTACATGATATTATCCTTTGTGGAGCTGATATACAACAGTAGACCACTAACTTAAAAGAGTTTTATAAAATAATAAAATGGTGACGTATTGTGAGATGTTAGTGTCATGGTATGGGACATGTGCTGCATCATAATTCATAACGTTCACATTCATGCGTGATATTTGTTAATGGACGTTAGCTCCAGCGGGGAAGTCTAGGAACAGGGGGGCCATGGCCCCCTCTCAAATTTTAATTTTTTTACTACTGTATATGTATATATAATTTATGGCATTTATATTATGCTCCTATAATTTTTAATAATTAAGTTTTATATAAAAAATAATAATTATTATTTTTAATTGAAGAAAACAAACAAAAATAATAAATAATTCGAACAAGGAGGATAAGGAAATTACATGACTCTGAACCAGGGGCGAGTCTACTATCAGACAAGGGCAGACTCAAGCCCACCAAATTTTCATTATTTATTTCACCCAATTTCAGATTAGTGCAAAAAAGATCCAAAGTTTTTCTTTTGCTATATTCTTCTAAAAATAACAAAAATTCTAATTTTTTTTCGGGGGCGCTGCGCCTGCCCCCGAACCCCGTGATGAAATCCTGGTTAGCTCATATATATATATCATTGCAATGATACTACGCGAGCCTCTAGCTGAAGACGCAGGTTGAATTTATTGGATAATATATTTCCTTCAATCTATTTTTTTTTCTAGCTAACTTCGACTGTTCCAAGTCCTTGCGATAAATTTTTTTTTTAAATTCTTTTTGAAGCACTTAATTTATTGTATATACGCTAAAGTATTTTTGAGGTAATCTAAGATTCTCTATTTTGTGGAGTGAACTATATTTTTTTATGTCAGTACATAACAACGCCTATTTTTTTTACAATACTCGATGTTTTATCAGAATTTTATTATAAATTATCTTAATATATTAATAAACTTCAGGTTAGGTGAAAAAGATAGTAAAATATGATAAGAAATTGTCAAGTGTATTTTATCCTACATATTAAATTAAAAAATAATAACAAAAATGTATATCCACCAACCAATCATGTGGGGGAGTGACAAAAGTGCACAGTCAGTAGAACGTGCAACAATTAACAGCCGTACACGTGGCGATCATCAACTGCCATAACATGGAATCTGGGCCCATAGTAATCTGGAACCCAATACTTTGACAGGGAGGATTTTGGTTCTCTCTATCCCCATTAATAGTACCATAAATCCCCTTCTTTCATTGCTCCAATTCTTAGAGAGAGAGAGACAACCAAGAGAGAGAGAGAGAGTAAATCTTGTAGGTTTCTCTCTCTAGATTTTTTGTAGAGAGAGAGAGAGAGGCAATGGAGATGTTGAGACTGTACTTTTTGGTGACAGTATTTGCTCTTCTTTCAGCTTTCATTATTCCTTCTATCAATGCTCAAGCACCAGCACCAGCTCCTTCAAGCGATGGTGATTCCATTTTTCCTTCTTTCCAATTATTATAATATTTATTTTAGAGTAATTAACTTACATTATATTTTGAATTTTTTCATGTTTAAAAATTTGAATTTTCAAGCAATGGTCATATTGGCATAAAATTGATTTTTTTATCATTAATATGGTTAAATAACTTTCTGCTAAGCACGGATACACATGAGTGCGTGTGATTATGTGCATATCAACAGTTAATAATCACCCCGATGTATTATATTTAGCATCAAATAAACCCTCATTCTATGTGGGTTAAAATATCTGCACGCAAGTGCACGTATCTTACAATTTTTTATTCCAGATCTGTTTCTAGTAAACCCTTTTTAGTAATTTCACATTGGATTTCGAGTTCTTATTTTCCAACGTTATTTATTTTTGAATTTGCAGGGGTAACAATTGATCAAGGAGTAGCATATGTGCTGATGCTGCTTGCTTTGGCTCTGACCTACATAATTCATTGATCCCACATTGCACAATTTGCCATTTCAGTCAAGCTTATAATTTTTTTTTCCAAGTTGGGTTGATTTCTGCAATATTTTGCCAATTTAATTTTATTCTCATTATTCTTTGTTTTACCTGATATTTCCTGTACACATATTTAGTATGTAAAAATGCAGCACGTAACTGAGGCATCGAAATAGTTCAACTCCAAACGAACTGAACCAACGTATCGCTATATATAAATATAAATATTATAAATTACGAGATTAACAAAGAGAGCGGATAATTAAAGTGCCATTTCTGCACGCAGAGCAGCAAGTTCATCTTCCTCTTGCGTTCGTATCTGAGGGCGATTAGGTAATTTGCCACTCGGAGCATGCACTGAAGAAGTAGGGGCTGTCGTCGAAGGCTGGAGAAGTTGTTCCTCCAGTTCTGCACCTTCCAATTCTTCGAGCTCAGCCTCCAATTCATCCTGTAGTAACACCGAAATAAATAAATCAATAAATAAATAAACATATAAAAATCAGATGAATCAATTTCGAAAACATTGATGCAAATAATTTCAGATGCACAATAAATATAGTCAAGACAAGAACCTCGTCAAAGTCAGCCGCTGCACCGATTGGGGTAGATAGTGCTTCTTGTATCTGCTTCATGTTCTCCGTTTGTTCATTTATCTCATCCATCGTCTTGTCCACGTCATCAATATTTCTGGTTTTATTAAAAAAAAAAAAAAAAAAAAAATTAGACGAAGCGCCGTAGAGATTCTCCGACATTATTATCGAATGGTATTATCATTTATAATATTATAAGTCATCATCTATATTTCTGCTTACGTGGCTTTCTGCATTGCTTTCATCGCAGCTGCTGCACTTCTTAAGGCATCCACGGTTTCGGTAGTTGCTTTTGCACCTTCTAACAATATCATCTATAGAAACGATCATTAGAAATATTAGCAATCAAGTATATATATATATATATATATATATATATATATATATATATATATATATATATATATATATATATATATATATATATATATATATATATATATATATATATATATATATATATATATATATAAAAACACAGATAAATACTCTCTTTTTTTTCCAAATAAAAACATATAAAAACTGACTTGATCATGTACGCGCACGTTGAAAATTTGCTAGCTGCCCAATTTGTTCTTCATAGAGCTTTTTCTTCTTCAAACACTGTATAGCCGCTGCATCGTTACGTTTTTACAGCATATATAAGACCTCATCATACTTAGTTAACAAAATCTTGTCGAATCAAATAGCTAAACGAAATTACGTTTCACCATGAGCTAAAAAGGTTTTTTTTTTATTGGGACCTTAAATTTTGCAAAACCATATAAGCAAATTGGCCGAGTAAAATATTTAATTTATTTATTATTTGCTTTACCGGCTACATTCTTGAATAAATATCGGTGAGCAAAGTGAAGTTCTACTCTACCACCACACATAAATGAAAAAAAAAAAAAAAAAACAATACCATCCAAAATATAACTCAATGAGACTTAATGCAAACTTCATATAACAAGCTAAAATCCACTAATGCTAAAAAAAAGACGGAACCTTTTTAAATAAAAAAAAATAAAAATGAAGCAGCGAAATTTTGTGCAATTGTACCTCTCTTATTCTTTGCTTTTGTGTGTTCTTTGGCCTTGTCCAGCTCAGCAGATGCCTTCTTTTGAAGAACGCCTTCTTTCTTCTCGAGCATCTCAAGAGTCTACACAAGAAAAAATAATCGATTATTCCATGTTGGCAATCAAACATCTACATTCACCGTAGCGGATTTTTTTACGATCAATACATATTAAAGTTATATATGTCTGAAACAGAGCAGTAGGTACAGAATTAAAATTCATTCGCTCAATCGAACACGAGAACTAAATTATGTAGACTCCATTCTTCTCAAAAGAACAACACAGAAGACCATTAATGGAACTACACATTACTCTCCGAGAGATCAGAATTCTCTCGGTCAAAGGTCAATGATATTATAGTTAAAGCCAATACCATCTTACATGCATTCAATTATCTAGATAAAAATAATTTAGGGCAAATTACGGCCACTCCCTTGAGGTATGACCAAATTACAAAAAAATACCCACTTGTTTGGGTAATTACAGCCACCCTTCCTTTTAAATATTTTTACATAAAATTTATGTAATTTGGTTATTTACCGAATCAAATCGTATATTCAGTTCGGTAAACGGTATGAAATGTTGGCGTACCGAAATTTCGGTTCAGTTTTACCGATTTAACATCCCTAAATTAACCTCTAGAGGTGTATTTTCGTAAGATAATACATAGTCGAGGGTTGACTGTAATTACTGTAATTACCCAAACAGAAGGGGGGTTTTCGTCATTTAACCATAACTCAGGGGTGGCCGTAATTACTGAATAATCTTCGATAAACAATCAATGTGAGAAAGGAGTTAACGAAAGAAAAGAAACAATGTTTGTACCTCGTTTAATTTGTCTAAGGTGGCGAGAGCATTAGCTTCTTCTTGTTTAGGTTTGCCTAAAAGACGGGTAAACATCTTCAGATCAAATTTCTAATCTTCAATGATCCTATTATATTTATAACCGACAAACCAAAATCAGATATCAGGAGTTTTTTCAGAATCAGCAATGAGAATAGCACCGATTGGGAAGAGAGAATTAGCAGAGTTGCTGAATTAGGGCAATGAAAATGGATATTATTATTAGGAAGTGGTGGGGAGTAAGGAAGAGGAAGAAGCGTGTATATATATATATGGGTTCTTATTTTGGTTTACTTAAGCGCGTTGGTTTTAGTTGGGAAAGTAGACGACTGCTATTTTTTATTTTTATTATTATTATTATTATGGGCCACTATTTGCAATAATAATTAGGGTAAATGACAAATACGCCCATGAGAAGGGCACTTAATTAAAAGAGGGACATTCAACTTTTTTGTCTTTCAAATAAATCCAGCTGATTCAACCTTATTTGCAAATAAGGAAAATCCCGTATACCAAAATTATCCCCTATTCATTGAAACTCAATTCAACTCCAATTTCATGATTTACACCCCAATTTAACCCAATTTCATCAATTAACCAATTTTAACCATAATTTCAATTTGACCCCAATTTTGACCCGCCACCACCGGAGACCGCCGGTCGCCGGCGTTGACTTTTTTTTTTTTTTTAAAATATTTTAATTAATATTACTGTCATGGCTGCTAAATTACTGTATCCGGCAGTTATTTAACTATCGGAGACAGTAATTTAACTATAAATTGACTTTTTTTTTTTTGCTTCAAAAATATTTTAATTAATACTATTGTCTTTGCTACTAAATTACTGTCTCCAGCACTTATTTAACTGTCGGAGATAGTAATTTAACTGTTAATTGATTTTTTTTTAATTTTTTAATTAATGTTACTGTATTCGTTGCTAAATTACTGTCTACAGCAGTTATTTAACTATCGGAGACAGTAATTTAACTGTTAATTGACTTTTTTTATTCTTAAAAAAATATTTTTAATTAATATTACTGTATTCGTTGCTAAATTACTGTCTCCAGCAGTTATTTAACTGTTAATTGATTTTTTTTTCTTAAAAAAAAGTTATTTTAATTAATATTACTGTCTTGGCTGCTAAATAACTGTATCCAACAGTAATTTAACTGTATTAGACAATAATATTAATAAATATTACTGTTCGCGAAAATAATATTCATAATATTATTGTCCCAAACAGTAATATTATTGTCCGAGACAGTAATTTAGTAGTCCAGATAGTAATATTAATTAAAATATTTTTTTCTAAGAAAACAAAAATTCAAAAAAAAAAAAAAAAAGTCAACGCCGGAGACCGGCGGTCAACGGTGGTTGACCGGCCGGAAAAAATTTTCAGGAAAAAAAAAAAGTCAACGCCGGAATCTGGCCGAAAAAAAAAATTTCAGAAAAAAAATTATTCTGGAAAAAAATAAATTTTTGGGGTAAATGTGATATATTTGTATAAATCCGGGGTCAATGTGTAATATTAAGGAAGTTAGAGCATAATGGGTGGAATTGATAAGAATTAAATTATGGAGGGTATTTTAGACTAAAGACATGGGGATGGGTTTAATTGAGAGACTGTTTTTTTTGTGCACAAAATGCATTTAAGTCCCATATGATGGGCCTTTTTGCCATTCGCCCTAATAATTAATTCTATTAGCGGGAGATATTAAAATGGGAGCATTAAACATTCATTTGATATTTATATAATACTTTTTTTTGAATTTTTTTCCTCCCCATTTTTTCCTGTAAATACACTCACGCGCCATTTTTTCCTATAAAATTAAGTTCAAGTCCTTTTTTTATTTCCTTTTATTTTTTTCCTATATATAATTAATTCTTTTAATTTATTTATCCATAAAGTATTTTTCAAAAAAAATATATATATAAATATAATTTTTTGTGCCGACCCGGAACCGTCCCGGATAGGCCCGCCGAACCGCATGTAGTACGGGCCGGTTCCGGTTCCGGAAAAAGTGAACCGCGAACCGGCCCAGAACTGGCCCACTGAAACTTTGCTTTTTCCTCCTCCATAAAACCACAAAACCTACATATTCAAAACCCTCAAAACTCAACAAACCTTATTAAGAGGACAAGTATGGAATCAAAAGACATCAAAAATGAAAGATTCTATGGTAAAAGAAGCCAAGAAGGTATGCATTTATGTGTTTTCTAGTTATACTATTGTTTTTGAAAGAAAAAAATCGCGCAAACTCGTTCGACATTTACAAGTCGTTATTGTTATTATTATTATTATTGTTATTGTTATTGTTATCGTTAATGGAAAACTCATACAAACAATTAACAACGACAATTTTTTTAATCACCCTTTGAAATTCTCACCCTTCCTATTTTCAGTGATTCATTTAACTTTTTTTCTTTATCAGGTATATTAATCGATTATGAAGCATATTAATCGATCTGATGAAGCATAGTCGATTAAGGAACTGACTATTTAAAAAAAAAAACACACACCTACATAAAAACAAAAAATCAACATTTTTTTACAAAACAAATAATGTACATAAATTGTAATTGATTTATACAAATCGGAATTAATACA